AAGATGCGTACTTGCACTCGCAACGCGTTTGGGAAATCTTCCCAATAGGAGATGAGCTTGTTCTTGGGAAAATCGTCTCCGAACAAAAAAACACACGCTCACTCCTTCTTTTTCTACTATGTGTACCACGAGACACGAGACATGGACTACCAACACGTCAATTGCGTGAAAAGATATTTTACAGACGGGTCACGTCTCAATGGATCCACTGGCTTCGGTGTCTTCAATGAAAACTCTAGCGCCTTCCACAAACTCCAGGAACCTTGTTCCGTTTATGTTGCTGAGCTGGCAGCAATCAACTTCGCGGATGATTTCCAACATGCCCGCAGACCATTACTTCATCTTCTCGGATAGTCTCAGTTCAATTGAGGCTATTCGGTCGATGAAACCAAGTAGGCACTCATCTTATTTCCTTTCAAAGGTAAGGGAGCAGATGAGTGTGCTGGTCGAAAGATCATATATGATTACCTTTGTATGGGTCCCCTCACATTGCTCAATCCCAGGCAATGAGAAGGCGGACTCTCTCGCAATGGTGGGCGCGCAGAAAGGCGAATTTTATGACAGGCAAATTTCACACGATGAATTTTACCATTTAGTGCGTCAGAGTAACCTTTCGAGTTGGCAAACCGATTGGGACAATGGAAATCTTGGACGGTGGTTACATTCAATTATTCCTAATGTTTCTTCGAGAGCGTGGTTTAAAGGCTTGGACTTAAGTCGTGACTTCATTTGCGTGATGAGTTGACTTATGTCCAACCACTACTCGCTAGATGCGCATCTCAATAGAATAAACCTCGTGGACAGCAACATATGTCGGTGTGGAAACGATTACGACGACATCGATCACGCAGTTTGGCAATGTACGGATAATGACGCCGCCAAAGAGCGACTTTGAATACCCTTGAGGCCCAAGGAAGACAACCCTATGTTCCTATCAGAGACGTGTTGGGAACTCGCGATATCTGCTATATGCAGTCGGTTTATGTGTTTCTTCAAATGTCTACTATAAGAATTTAATTCCTTTGTCTTTTGTCTCTCTTTAATAGTTTTTGTTTGTCTTGTCCCCCCGTCTCGATGAGTCTCATCGTCGCCCACTGGACACCATAGCCGGTTGAACTCCAGACGAAACTAGAATCGCACTACCATTCATACTGGCGACAACACTCTGATGAGACAACGAAACCTTACCCCCAAGCTCCTCCCCTGATCCTATCCTTCGACAATGTACCTCTCTAACCTCGAGTAAGCCGCGAGTATTCGGCCCAACTCCTACTAGACATAGAATTAAGTGAATTTTGTTACAAAGAACAATGAACTATCGGCTCCGTAAAGCTAACGCGATTGAGCCTACCAAATAAACGAACTAGCTAAAAAAAAAGAGACATGGACTGTTGTATTACCGCATATGCGAAACTGGCAACACTGCATCATGATATCTGCTCCGGTGGTGTAGTGGTAAGCGTGATTACCTCTCACCCCAGGTATCCGTCGTGGTATGAGAGATTGAGTGTCGCCGATAAATAAAGAGAAAGGGTGTCTTTGTTAAGATTAAGCAAGAGTATAGCGTATAGAATAATAGAAGCATTGGGAAACATAACTCGCCATTACGGTAAACATTGTCAGTAGTTTGCGAAGATAAACAGATAAACAACGTTTAGTTTCCCTTTCAAATTGGGTTTAATAACAAAATAAAGGATAAGTCCACGGCCCATACAAATTAAAAAAAAAAATATGTATGTCTACGTAGTTTATGAACAGCCCCTAAGATAGAAACAGGTGAGAAATGAATAAGTTTATTATTTCTACTAACTTTCCCGAGCAATGTCGGGTGTATTTAACGTGATTTAATTAAAAGTAAATGTATTTACTTCGTAAATTAATCAATAAAATATCAAAATCAAGCAGCAAATTTTAGGTTACTTTCTACATGGATGCCGTATTAACAGAGCTATTCAAGCTGATGTGAAAATAAGCGAATATTCTATGACCTTATTATCATAATAACTGCTGCTGAACTGAGAACTTCCCGGCATATCCTGATTATATCGACTGCAGCACTACTCGTAAATATGTGTTTCTATGTCAATGTGCTGCTACTTCCTCTTATGCGATTTCAATAGTATCATGGCATGGTACAATGTTTGAACTGAAAAGCGCACGCAGTGCCGCTGTTGTTGCCGCCACCACGGTGGTGGCATAAATTAATTACTTCGAAATTTCTATTAAACGAATAAATTATTGATTAATTAATTTTATAGCCGATGATTGTAGGAAAGCACCGACGGTTTGCATTCATTATGGATTAGACAACTTCCGCCATGGATGGAGGAGCGCACGTGTACCTGCTTGTTCTATTGTGTCGCATCATCGAGGATGCAGCTCTTTCAGAGCATTCACAAAAGGGAATGCACCAGAGTGGGAGCTTGTATGATACAGCCGGTGAACCGGAAGCAGTATATTCACCATTAGCCAGCTGCTCCGGATCATATTGTGTGCTCATTTCAAGCGTTAAGTATTTGCAAGCAACTATCACCAGATCCAGTACAAATGCTTTATTCAAAAATATATTCTGAATGAATTCCCTACTGTCGAGTTGACATTCATACATATAATCTTAATTATCCCAACAATACCTACTAGGTAGAACTGGGGTTGGTGAAGCACGGTTGGATAAGGGGAAAAGGGGGGTACTGCTTGATCTAGATTCTGGATGATTTCAGCCTGCGTGGTTCAACACAAATCAACACTATACTGAATAGAAACTCTCAGTTTCTTGATCTCGTGCTGTGGAATGAAGCTGCAGCTCTGAAAAGTCCTGTTCTTGAAGCCTCAGAGCTCTTGATAAGCGCCGATGGCAATCATCCTGCATTGTAAGTTTCTATCAATCTATCGGTACCAGCTCTCTTCGATAACACCATTGAAGAAGGGGTACAAAAGTCCAATAGACAACTGGACGAATGGTTCAAAAAGGGACAAAAGGTCGAATTCAGTTAAGTTGAGCTTTCCCTTTCTGTTTATCCTTAACGAAGGATATAGTTATAATGATTAAACGTTACAAATGTTCACATTCTTATTTGTAGGGCCATATCAGAACAAAAAGAAATAAATTTACAAAATAACGGAGCAATTCCAGATCTGAGAGGGCATAGTATATAAGGTCTAAACAACACAAATTTACCCTTTCAAGGGTGATTGGAATCCTAGCTAATAGAAAAGGCAAAATTAGCCAAAAGTCCGGTATTGAAAGGGATATGTAAAACCCTGGTCAACGAAAGAACTTTCGGCCTAGAAGTGAAAACTTCTCTCTTTAACCGGAGAAAAAAGCAGCGAGGAGTGCTAAGTTTTTTGTCCAGCAAATGTACCATTCTGCCCCAGTGTGCCTTGGCATCTTACCCATTTTTGATTCCCATTATCTAGATAAACGAAGTTTGCTAGATCATTGAGGATGTAAAAACTTGCATTAACTGCAATAAAGGTTACCTTGGACACATAAAACCAGGTTTAATGTTTCGGCATTCAAAAAAGCAGTATCGGAAAACGGGAGTCGACATTACTGGTGCTGCCTCGTCCCTAATTACATGAAACTAGAGGACATCAACAGTAGCCACTAACAGCAGTTTCATATCCATTTCCATGAAACACAAATCTATGCCGCTTTTCCGCTCAGTAAGCTGACTTCCATTGAAGCTAGAATTAAGGTAATCTGTAATTTAAATCAGGAAGTGACATTTCCCGATAAACGATCGCCTATACTCGGTAGGAACGTCACCGAAAAGTCCCTCGCTTCCACTTCGACACTTTAGATCATGGCACCAAACCACGCCCCTAACCGGATGCTGCCTAGGCTGAGCTACTAATCGGTTCACACATGCACGTATTTCAGCAGAGCAATTCAGGCTTCGACATTTTAGTTCGTCGTCGTACTTGAGCTACCAATTTCCTTTTATTTATGTTTAATTATGCATTATTCCATTAAGCTACCAATCAAATGAGATGAAAGCTGAATACATTTATTAGGCCCCATAATGCTTTTGATTGTTGGTGGTCCCTCTACGAACTACTCATCTTTTTGACTGGCATTCAGGTGGAAACTTTTCGATTCTAGTCATGCTTCCCACGCTGGAACAGCTCGTGTTTACACCGATAGTGGATTTTGTTTGCTTTCATCCTAAAAGTTGGCGGAGCTCCGTAGGTGGGTATAATTAGAAAATGCCTATGAACTCTGCCCTGCCCCCGATTTCCAACGTACGAGGCACTAATGGAATAATCAATATGGGACATCTGACATGTTGAAAGCACTGTGTTGGACCAAAAGAGGTGCAGCATTTCGCAAACTGACAATGATAAGTTTATTTATGGCCAACATTAGCAGACATCATTGCTAGTGGATTGTTTTGAGTGCTTCAGCCAACCGAAAAGATAAACAAGCCAATGCATTCGCATTTGTCTTTCCGTAAAAGACATTCACAATACACATTTTGCTGCCCCAGCCAATCTGGACGATGAAGATTGATGTAGCTAGTATTTCCTTCTAGAGGTTGCATGCATTGGCGTGCACAGACGAGGGCAATCATACTCACTTTGATTACTATGATCCTGCCAGACTCTCATGTTGATATTATTTGACGCTCATGCTCTATCTAGTTCATAAGGATATTCAGTTTTGTATGTGCAGATACATGGGCAAACTTTGTTACTATTAAACAAACACCTAGAACACTTCATTCCGCTTGTGGGGCAATATCTATCAATATTTGCTCCTTGGGGAATTCACGTGTCTTTGTTCCCGTGTGAATCTTGCCAATCACTCTGCATCATCAAACCAAGCTAACCACAATTCGCTCGAATATGTAGGTACGAACCCGTTTCAATCAAATGTCTTGGAGGAGAGGCTGTGTGTAAATCAAACCCCCAAACCAAGTTTCTTCCCGAAGCGACGACGACCGATGCGATATATTGCTTCATTGTTTGAAATCTAAATAAAGAGAAAAGAAACTCACCTCCACCATGCTGTCCCGGATGTAGATTTCCTTGACATCGTCGTCGGTGCCTTTGTCCCGCGCTCGGTACGTTATCCGGTAGCCGAGAAATTCTCCCAGAATCGTCTCCGGCGGTGGGGGTTTCCACGAGATGTACACCGACGTGGCGGATGTGTTGTGGGCGATCGTCGTCACCGGCTTACCGGTAGGGACTGTGGTTGTGTGCCAGAAAGATAGATAATATGAAAATTGGAGATTGTCACGTCAGTGGAGTTACAGGATGGCTTTGGTGGCTTGGAATTGCGTTTATTTGTTTGCAGGGATGTTGTGACATAAAGTTGTGTATTTTATGTAATTAATTACGGTTTTTGATCACCTCAAAGCGTACAATGCAAATCATTCAACGTACAATATACAAGAGGAGTAAAGTTCATTACCAACTATGTTCAAAAGATTCGTCAAATGACTGGATGACATTGTACTTTTTGTCGACGACGCAGTCTTTCAAGAAGACCAGGTAGTTACATTTAATTCTCCTAGAAACAAATCAAGATTATGCCGCTTATACACTTGTATGACAAACTATGAGCATGAACATTATTTGTATAATAATAAATCATGAGCACATCCAAAAAATATCCAAGTGTGACCATGAATTTGCTCATAATTGCTCATGGTCATAATTGTCATACAAGTGTACCCGCGGCATTAGCGTTTTCTATCGAGAGCACCCCGGAAAATAGTTCATTTGTGTATAGAAAACATGCTGAAGAAAAATTTTCAATGAAACATGATCAATATATTATTTCTTGATTGTACGTACATATGAATCCATTTCTGGTTGATTGCGATCTATTAATGAAGTACGTTTACTGAGAACCAACACTTTACTGAGAGTAAATGTTCAGTTTATTTTTTTATTTTTTTTAGGTTCAATTGAATAATCTTTATAGAGCCAAAGTTAACTATAAAAAAAATTCAATTCATAGTCAAAAGGTGCAACACACTAGACACTTTATCTTCGGGTAGCCAATAAACCTCCTCCATCAGAACGGGAGCCACTTCCAGTGGTTTCATTGTATGGCAGTATTGCCAAGGAGGAGACAGAGCGCTTCCATTTCAGCAATGGACTCAAAACGTGGTCAGCACTCACACACTCATCACTAAACGGTTGCTTTCCAAAGTTGACGACGCATCGATCGAAAGAACTGCTGATGAATAACAATGAGAAGGACCACACAATAAATGCTGCCGAGTAAGCAGACGATCGCGTAACATACATCGAGAGTGGCCTGCTTCTGTCGACAGCCGAGTGAACACTGAAATGTTCGGGGTTGTAGTCAAATTAAATAGGTGCTCGCAAAACAAATGGCATGGACATCAAAGGTAAGGGTCGATTTATTACATCCCCTGCATGTTTTCTTGCAACTAATGTAATGTCCGTTCTTATCATGGGCTGTAGACACAATCCACGCACTTTCAGGCCGAGGGATAACGATTTCAAACTGAATATCATGGCCCGAGCTTTAGAAAATATGATAGACAGTGTATGTAACTACGAGAATAACACTTATTTTATTTAAAAATGCATTGCTAATTATTGAGACAGTCTATCAAAATACATGCATTATGAGCATGAGATGTTTTGACATTATGAACGTGCGAAGTCAAATTCCATTCTGTACTTACAGATTATGTTAAGAAGAAAGATGAGGAAAAGAAAGATATTAAACTAATGTTGTATGCTGTCTTCATATATTTATTATAATAATGTATTTCGCTTCAATTTTTAATAGTTTCATAAATAGCCCCATTATTATGGTGTCCCGTTACGAAAAAGGCACATTTTTTTTATCACTGTGGAAACATTCAATACTATGGGTACGTGAAATCGTTTGATGCTCTTACTTACTCGTCTTCCTTATCATATATTGGTGGCCACAACCGAACCATTCGTTCAAAAGTACATGGGTACACAATTATGGTGTCACGTTAAGAAATTCAAATGAAGATGTAAAATGATCCAAAATCATTTATGCGTAGCTTATTTGTAATCCAAAAGGAGCATTTGTTTTTTTTTTTCCTTTGGTTTGTTTTTTCCGTCGATCTTGTTTTCCGTGCTGAGCACCAATGCTACCGACGTGCCAGGAAGGCAGGTCCCACACCTGGACCCTACCTATCGACCCATCAACTCATGAACCGGGGACCAACGGCTTTACTTCCCATCCGAAGGAAGGCGTGATCAGAGATGTTATGCCTCAGAACATCCCGGCGGCGCCGACTGGGATTGAACCCAGGCCTGCTGGGGTGAGAGGTAATCACGCTTACCACTACACCACCGGCGCCGTTGGAGGAGCATTTGTTAATAATATTATGTTTTAGGAGAAGGTGTTTACGTCTGATGACATAGCATTTAAGAAAATGACACAATCCATGCACTTCTACGCCAAGGGATCAACATTTCAAACAGCCCAATCTTTTGTTTTCCGTACTGAGTACCAATTCTACCGAAGCCAGGGAGGCAGCTCCCACGTCTAGACCCTGCATATCGATCCATCAACTCATGGACCGGGAACCAACGGCTTTACTTCCCTTCCAAAGGAAGGCGTGATCAGAGTCAGGTCTTTTGGAGTGAGAGGCAGTCACGCTTACCACTACACCACCGGTGTCAGTAAAACCCAAGCTTTGCTGAATATGAAAAGAGTGTAGGGTAAACACTCCTAAAGTTGCGGTACGTTATAAAGGTTAGGTTCCTATAGTTGTGCATCGAGACCCCATACACAACTATACCGTATGCGTGATAATGTTTGCACCATTGAGTAATGTCAAAATTTAAAAAAAATCTCAAAAGTTTCGTTTGCGAGTTTTTTTTTTAATTTATTCAAAGAGGGATGTTTCTCACAGTCTTCAACTATGTTAATCATCGATCGAGTTTCCACTTGCTGCAATTACGGCATCCACACGCTTCCGGAAATACACGGCAGGTTCTAATAATGTAGTCTGGAACCATTTCTCTACAGGTACGGGTCAATGTTTGTCTGAGGCTTGCTGTACTCGGGTGGCGTTTAGAACAGGCTTTGGCCTTCATGACGCGCCATATTGAGTAATCCAGCGGATTAAGCCAAGAACGGAAGATGTTCCTGCAACCACTTCTGAGTGCGGTTCGAAGTGTGCCACGGAGCCCCATCTTGTTGAAATACAACATTTGGCTTCGGACCGTACTATTCTTTGATCCACGGAAGAACATACTTACTTAAAATCCCGATGTAGACCTCCGTGTTCACCTTGTCGCCTTCTGGAATGAACACCGGGTCCATCAACATTTTTTGCCATCGGAAGCCACCAATCCAAACACCATAACGCTAGCAGGATGCTTGGTCAGATACACGTTCTTGTGCTCGTCGGCCACGTCTTTTACCGGAAGAGAACAAATATACCGGTCGGTTCTGGAATTTGATACGGGGTCGACGGTAAGCATGCTCGGTGAACAGGATTACCGGATTTTTTCGCTTAAGGAAGTTCAAGATTTTCTTGCATCGTTCGACTCGTAGCTCCCGGATGCGGTTTGTAATCATGTGAGTTTTTTTCTGTACCCTCGACTTCGCGCCGCAATCTTCCTTTACGATCTTTCGTGCCATAAACTCACTGATCCCGTGTTCCTTTGCCATTTTCCATATTGAACGCACTGGATTCACCCGAATCTTCCTTTTGATAGCAGCGATAACCCTCGGAACCCGAGCTGACCTCGGACGACCTGTGGGCCACCTTCGCGGATAGTTGTCCTTTCTTTTCTCGGCTCTAAACCCCTTTTGACGGTCCACCGGGACACTCCCACGGCGATTGAAATGTCTTTTACGAATCACGAATACGATGCCACTTCGTCATGGTGCAACTGTCAAACTAAGTAAATCATTTTCTTTTATACACAGCCTACTACGGTATAAGCTATAGGTTACGTGCATGCAAAGAAAACCAAGGCATTGTATGCACAGGTGAAACGGGAACCTTATTTGTACGACGGTGCAAACATTATCACGCATACGGTAGGAGCCTAATGCCTATAACGTACCTAGCGCAACTATAGGAACGTTCACCTTATTGAACTACAATATTAACATTATTATTTGATTAAAAACGTATTATTATTATTATTTATCTTTATTAGGGAGGCTTTCAGCCTTGGGCTGGTTCGCCTCCATATTAAAAACGTAGGGTAGGGTTAACAGGTATAATTCGCCCCCTTAACCAACGACTTAATAAAGTTTTTAACTATCCCTAGCTTGATATGAAGGGGAGGATGCAAGATTGAGTCTCTGGAAACGAGTGGTGGGTAGATTACATTAGATTTCCTTAGCTAGTGTTGTCCACGCATTTCCCAATCAGTTTTCAGTATATGACCATCATCGGGACAACATACCAAAGTTCATAAAGAGGGCGGTGCCACAAAATTAAGGTGTGAGATATGTTGCGAAAATGGTGATAAAAATCTTTTTTTTGCCTTCTACTATCGTTTCATAACAAGTAAAAATAATTTGACTCAACATTAGTCATTTACCCTTGCAATATAAAGATCACTGACGGGGATCCGTCACCGACGAACTGACGTGACAGCTAATAGAAGCCACATTGAAATGCTTGCCCAAGACGCCATATTTAAAATACGTTAAACACTACCGCCATCTACTCATCCGATCGCGTCATATCGTGAGCAAGGATACGAACACACGATACATTTATATTTACTTGGTTTGTGTCTCACCTCTTTTGATAGATCTGATCGCCCGTTTGATTGATCGAATCACTCATTTGACAAATCGAATTGCGGACAAACGAAATGCTCCAGTGACACGTCGGTTCTTCGATGGATCCGTCACAATTCTGGATTAACAATGGAAAAGGGCCCATCAGCATTTGTAAACAAACCGTTCTAAAGCCCTTTCCTCACAAAGAGAAAGCAGCACACGCAAACCAACACCAACATCGGGTAGGGGAAACTTTTCCCTATCCGATTATAGTGTTGGTTTGTGTGAGCGGCCTTCGTTATGCGAGGAAAGGGCTTTAGAACGGTTTGTTTACAAATGCTGATGGGCCCTTTTCTATTTTTGATCCAGAATTATCCCATGAGTGTGTGGGGACAAGACTGTACCTCCACTTGTCTCAGGCCGAGCAGATCGGAGTGGTAAACAACCGTCATGAAATTCTCTCACTCCGA